CAGAGCCAGAAGGTCCCCCACGAGCCTCCTTTTCTCCAGGCTGAGCCCCCCCAGCTCCCTCAGCTGCTCCTGCTGCTCCAGCCCCTTCCCCAGCTCCACTGCCATTCCCTGGCCACGCTCCAGCATCTTGATGTCCTTCTTGTCATGAGGGGCCCAGAAGTGACCCCAGGATTCGAGCTGTGACCTCGGCAGTGCTCAGTTAAGAGGGGGGAAATGCTTTAGTATCCAGAATCCTCCCCCCCAGCCACCCCTCTGTCCCAGGAAGCTGAGGATGGAGCCACATGCAGGATCTCTCCCATCCAAGGAGTAATCCAGGAGTGAACTGTATTTATCTGCCATTTGCTTCCCATCCCCAGGGCCTGCCAGCCCATAAACACACGCTCCCCTCGCCCTGGGACGTGTCAGATGTTGTGACTACAGCCCACACCAGCTGGCTCAGGGCCCCTCCTCTTCTTCACACAACACGAGACAGTTTCTCATGTGCAAGAATCCCGGAAATCTCCTGCAGGGAACGCTGTGATTTACAGTGGGATGCCCGGAGAGGGGGATTTTCTGCGGCTGGGAACAAGCAAACGCAGCTGTTGTTCAGCAGCTCTCACAGACAGGTAGGAGTGGGATCCTCGCTCCTTCATCCCCACGGGAATGTCCCTCTGGACACTGATTACAGCTGGGCCATCCTTCTGGGCAGGAGCTGTGGCTTTCTGGAGGTGACCAGCAGTTGCCACTCGACACTGGTCTTCCAGTATAAGACCTGAGAGCACCTTCCAGTGCCTAAAGGGGCTCCAAGAGAGCTGGGGAGGGACTTTGGACTCAGGTCTGGAGTGACAGGACAAGGGGCAATGGCCTTAAGCTGAAGGAGGGGGGATTTAGATGGGATATTGGGAGGAAATTCTTTAATATAAGGGTGGGGAGGCCCTGGCACAGGTTACCCAGAGAAGCTGTGGCTGCCCCAGCCCTGGAAGTGCCCAAGGCCAGGTTGGATGGGGTTTGGAGCAACCTGGGCCAGTGGAAGGTGTCCCTGCCCATGGCAGGGGGTGGCACTGGATGACCTTTAAGGTCCCTTCCAACCCAAACCACTCCATGATTCCACACAAACATCCCCAGCCCACCCTGTGCAGCTTCCCCCAAACCATTTTAACTTGCAACTAAATAAAAATTGGGGGAAGCTTTGACTTCCTGCTCGTCCCTGTAACGTCGTTTGCTGCAGCCCAGGGAGGCTGCACACACAGGATTCTGGTTTCTGAAGCAGCACCAGGCTCCACATTCAATTATCTCCTGGCCAACACCACCCTGATGTGTCCAGAACAGGAGATGACTGAGTTATCACCCAGAGACAGCCCTTCCCGAGGCAGCCAGCATGGAAAAGAGGCTTGAAGACAACCAGAAGAGATAAAAACGTTTGGTCTGTCATCATAACACGGCAGGATCCAGGACAAACCGTGGGAGGAAGGACTAGACAGTAGCTCAGATAAGAATCAGACTCTCTGTACTGCCAAAGGCAGCGTGGTTTGAACCTGCAGCAGTGAAAACAACTCCTCTGTTCCCCCAGTTCCCTCCAGCACATGGAAATGGGGAAAAGCTGAACTATTGCTGCAGTGAAAGCTCTGTCTCCACGGGATCTGTCTGCACAGACACTCTCAGGAACAGGAATCTGAATTACAGACAAGGTGGGATTACTCAGAACTTCACAACCATCCTGTTAAACGATTTGGGATTAAAGGCATCACCACACTTTTAAGTGAAAAGGGCCCCCACACAGGAGGTTTAATGCATGTTAATTAATCCCCCTGGAGAAAAAAAAAAAAGCAAGTGAATTTGGCTTAACGCCCTCTGGGCCACTAATTCCAGGAGGAGATAGTGATGGACAGAGCTTAAACGTGACAAAACCAGGGAGCTGTTCTTTAAGGCTGCCTGGAATTGGGGAAAAAAAGAAAAAAAATTATCCTGAAGCTTCTGAGATCCCTGTCAAACAAACAACAAAAAAAAAAGCAATCTTGGAAAAGGAAATTAAGGATCAGGGTTTTTTTTGTTTTTTTTTTTTGAGCACTTTGTATGTTGGATTTTGCCTCCATGATTCACTCTTCAGTAGCCCCAGGGCTGGAACAGGACCTGGATTCCAGGATTATCCCTGACAGGTGATTCCTTCCCTCTCCTGTCAGCACCTTGCCAAAACAACAGCACGGGGGGAGCAGCACTGGGTCGAGGGAAAGGTAATTCCTTTCACCCCCTTCTTTCCATCCCTTAATTCCAGGTGGGTGAATCACTCCCGACTCGCAGCCCCAGCGATTCCCACGGGCTGAGCTGTGCTGTCCCCTCCCAGCTCAGGGACAGACAGACAAAATACAGCCAGGGACACACAGAGGGACCTTCCAGGGGCTTGCACAGGTCAGGAGGAAAAAACCACACGTGTCCATTCATGCTTCACATGCCCCCTTGTTAAGGCAAATGAGGGAACAGTGGTGTGGGATTATCTGGAGCACTCTGAGCCACCCCTAATGAGGGCTGTGTTTTCAAGTGCTTGTCACTCAGCGTGACACCAGACAGGCTTTTACCTCCCAGGATTCAGCATCCAGCACAGCTGAGCTCCCAGATTTCTGGGTTAGGGGAGCAGGAGGCTGTTGCACCAGTAACTAAACAGCTGAAAATCAGGAGGGTGCTTTTGTTTAACCACTGGTGCGAACCAAAAAAAATCAGCCCTGCTCTGTCTGAGGGGGGGGAAAGAAAAGTAGGGAAATCTTATGATGCTTCAAGTTTTCCTGCTTGTTAACCAGGCAGCTCTCCAAGGAAAATGAATTTGCCTCGGTGGGAAAAAAAAAAAAAAAAAAAAAAGAGCAGTTGTAAGTGATTCGGGGCTGGCACGTTGGTGTTTGGGAGTGGAAAACCAGTGGGGTTTGTGGCATTCAGGACAAAGCCAAAGGGGAAGGGAAGAAAGTAACTCGGAACAGAAGAGGAAGATGAAAATTCGGAGTGTGAGAGAGAGAGAAATCCAAGGAAACAAAGCCCAAGGAAACAAAGCCCAAGGAAACAAAGCCCAAGGAAAAGCTTTTGAGGTATTTTGAGCAAGGAAAGCTCGTCGTGGCTTTCACTGCGTGAAAAAAAGACAACAAATTCTCCAGGGAAGGACTTGACACTCTTGCACTTTTCCAGGGAGACACACACCAGCCAGGGACACACCAAATGTGCTTTAGGGGAACACAGGCACCCCCTGCTCAGGGAGAGCCCCTCTCTCAGCCCTGACTCTCACACAGAGGGGGGGAGCAGGCAGGGAGGGCAGCTGGAGATGACCAGAGTTGCCTCCACTCTTCCAGGGAGCCCCCCCTGGGAATTCCAGGCTCACATACCTTGGGATTCACGTACCTGCCCGGCTGCTTTCCGACTGGTTCAGGAGGGGGTTGATCGACAGCCCAGATGTGAGGGGGCTTCCAAAGATATGTGAGGAAGGGAGGCTGAACGTTGAACCTGCCAGTGAGAACACCTGCAGGGACAGCAAGCAGGGAGGGGGGAGATGTGGCTCAGAGAAGTGACTTCTCAAAAGCACAAGAGGAAAATAACTTCATTATTCCATCTCTTCCCGACTCCAACCCCGAGAGGGTGTTAAAAATATCTCTCTGGAAGTCTTGCTAGACAGCTGAGATCTTCCCAGCCCTGCCTCAGAGCCAGGAGCCTGAAGGAGCCGTGTTAACACTGCAAAACTCTGTAAGACACCTCTCAGAGAGCTCCTGACAAGGACGAGGCTCCGTGTCCTGGCACAGCTCACCCAGCTGGGACCTGCCAGCCCTCCCTCGGGGTGCCTGTGCTGCTGGGCAGGCAGGGCTGGCACTGCTGGCAGGACCCAGCACGGGACCCAACCACCAGAGCAGTGGGAAGTTCCCAGTCAGTGGGAAGCCACCTGTCCTTTCAGGCTCCAACTCCTCCCAAACCCACACAGGTCGTGTGGGCTGTGACACGAAACCGCCCCCAAAGTGCAGGAAGAGCAGCTGTTCCCACGTGGGAAAGCAGCTCCCCCGTGCCCACAGGTGGCCCTGGCTCTGCCCAACCCTCTCCCAGAGCAGCCCCTGGGCAGGTCCTGCTGTTCTTACCTGCGTGGTGGACACGGAGGAGGAGGAGGCTGGGATGGTGCTGGCGAAGGGGGAGCGGTTGAGCTGCGGGAGGGACGAGGTGCCCTGGTGTGCCAGGAGGCTGGAGGAGAGGGGGGTGCTGCACACAGCCCTGAGCACCCCACCCCCGTGGGAAATGGGGTCCTTGTTACTGGTGTAGATCCCTGCAAGGGGGAGGGGGGAGATGGGTTAGAGAGACAGGATTCCCTCCTCTCCCTTCCAGGGCCTGGTTTTCAGCAGGGCTGGAGCTCAGTGGCACCAGTGCAATTCCAGGGTGGTCTCAGCCCACAACCCCTCTATCCAAAGGTGTATCTCCGAGTTTTCCAGCCTTGCCCCTTCCCCAGTGCATCCAGATGCAATCCAACAGGCAAATCACAGCGTTGGGAGACTCACCCAAGGCACGAATCGGTGGCAGAAGGGGGGAGTGGACTCAAAGAGTTCACACACCTGCCCCCTTCCGTGACAAAAACGGGGAAGAGGGAGAGAGGAGAGAGCTGCTGCCGAGGGAGGGGACCCGTCTGCCTTCCCTTGGCTCAGGAATGCAGTGCCCAAAGCAGGGGGAGCCCTGCCAAGAGCTCTGCACGAGAGAAGAATGGGAGAGAACGAGCAGAACAGGGCAACGAGCGAGAACAGGGGGAACACGGAGGCCTGGCAGCCTCCTCCTCTTTGAAACATCCCTTTGTTTGTTCCAGGGAGAGGCAAAAAAAAAAGAAAAAATTGGCCCAAGGTTAGGGCTGGGGAAGCTGCCTGGATTCCTGCAGCTCTTTCCCTCCAGACAAACGGCCCAGGCTCCTGGAACACAACAAAACTACCTCCCCCCCTGCAATCTGACCTAAATTGGAGCATCTGCAAACAACCCACAATAGACCGATGACAAGTTCGGCTGCCAGAACAGTGTCAAACCTCAGCCCCTCCTCTGCTGCTGCCTTAACCCCTTCCTGCCCCGGGTCCTGCCTGTCCTCACTCTGGCCTGGCTGGGGAAGGCAGCTCAGGCTGGGAACAGCTGTGAGGACGTGGATGTGGTAAGAGCAGGACGGGAGGTTTTGCTTTTAAAAGAGGGGTTAAACTTGAACCACTGAGGAGAGTCTCTAATTTGGGGTCAGACTGTGGTTGTTCTGGTTTGGCCTGTGAATATCCCTCTTTATCGAGCTGGAAATTCAGCTCTGGCTGGCTGAGGCTTTGCAGCCCTTGAGCAAAAAGGGTTTGGAATGTCCCCCCTCCCCAGCTCAGACCTGCACCCCAGCCCCAGCCCCAGCTGACCCGGAGGAGATTCCAGGATGAAGGGCCACAGCAGAAAGGGGGGAGCCCAGAGGTGGATGTTTATGGGACGGAATTCAGGGGACTGGACGCTGCAGGCAGGTCCAGACAGCAGCTAAACGTGACGAGAAAAGGCTGGGAAAAGCAGCTGTGCACACCTGGAGCCCCAGGGGGAACATACCTGAGCCCAGCAGCGGGGACTCCATGCTGAGGCTGGGCAGGTTCCCGGTGTGGCTGAAGGAGCGGGAGGAGTTGCCGACGCTGGAGCTCACGAGGGAGCCCCCGGAGAAGGGTGATGAGGACGTGGAGGTGGACCCAGCCAGCTGGGCCCCCAAAATCTCTTTGCTTTTCCCCCCCTTTGGCCTGCCGGGCCCGTGCTTGTTCTTCTTGCTACCCTTGTGCTTCTTTTCCTTCAGCACCTCTCCCTCCTCCAGGCTGAGCGACGGCATCCGCTTGTGGCTGCTGCTGCTGCTGCTCCCACTGGTCCCACTGGTCCCCACCGAGGGGCCACTGGTGGGATTTGAGGCTTTGTAGTCCACAGGGGAGGCATCCCGGGCTCTCTGCTGGCTCACAGCCGAGGTGGAGAAGCGCATGATGGACCCAAAGCCGGAGAAAATCACCTTCTGCTCGAAGACGTCGCCCTTCTGGCCCTCGTACAGGGGGGAGCAGTGGGAGGAGGACGAGGAAGACACAGGTTTCCGGTACTTCTCGTCGTCCTGCTCGAGCTTGGGGAAGGTCACAAAGTCCTGGGAGCACTGCAAGCTGCTGCAGGAGGTACCTGGGGGGGCACACAGGGGAGGCAGGGGGTGGCAGAACTCAGCCCACGAGGCCACAGGAGCACAGGGGCACAGCACAGGTCCTTCCTCCCAGTAAAGGGCCCGAGCTGAGCCATCCCTGTGACCCCCCCCAAGCCCTTGGATGCTCCCTGGGAAGCACCAGCAGCAGGTTCATCCCCACCTGTGGTGTCTGTTTTCCCCCATCCCTGCATCCCCCAGGAGCATCCCAGGGGACGGAACATGACAAGAGCTCGAGAAGAACCGAGCGAGGTCGGAGCAGATGGGAGCCCTGCAGGGCTCTCCCTCAAGGCTCAGGGGAGCCTGGCTGTCAGGTGTGGGCTCAGGGCTCTCCTCTCGTGCTCCTCAACCACAACTGCAGCCTGAACCACCTACGGAGCAGAGGGCAGGTGCTGCCCAGATTGTCTGAGCACAGAATCCCTTCCCTCCTCCCTCCACTCCGACATCTGGAGCTGATTTTCCTCACGAGCCCGTGCAGGAGGGGAGCTGGAGCACTCCTCTGCCTCCCTTCTTCCCTCTGTGCACGGAGCTGGGAGCAACCAGACTTTTCCCTTTCCCTTCAAGGGGTTAAAGAGGTCGCCACTGGCAAGGGTTGAACAGGTGAACAGGTCTCTTTGTACACAAAACATCACCACCACTCTCCCCTTCCTTCTCCTTCATCCCCACCCTCTTTCTTCTCCTCTCCCTCCTCCTTCACCCCTTACCTGCAGGCTGGAAGGTCCCGCTGGATGAAGCCGAGCTGAAGCCAACGGAGCTTTTCCCGCTTCCCGTCTTCTTCCCCTTGTGGCTGCTGCCATGGCTCGAGGACTTCCTGCCTTTCACCTCCGACCTGCCGACCTCTGAGGTCTCCTTGCTCCCCTCATGGTGGCTGGTGGAGCCCTGGGCAAGGCACAGACGCGGGGGGGACTCACTCGGGCCAGATGTGGCCCCAGCGGGGGCTCGTTTTCCCAATTTCCCCCCAGAGCAGTAATTGCCCCCTCTGCCCACACAAGGCTGGCCAGGTCAGGTTACTCAGGAGGGAAAGGCAACATTTCCCTCTCTTGCTGCCTGGTGGCACCAGGCTTTATACTCCCCAGGGATTACCCTCATCCCATGGAAGTGCAGGAAATTAAAGAGGGCACTGCAATCAGGGCACAGGCAGCGGAGACTCCCCGCGCCGACCAGCCCAAGTAAACTCTGCATCTGGCCAGGATTCAAACACATAGTTCAGCTTCCTCTCTCAGGTGTGCTGCTCTCAGCACAGTCATTCCACCTGGGGGAACTTGCTCATCCTTGTGCTGTCACAGGAGTTTCCCAGAGCCAGCCCAGGCCTTCCCAAACCTCCGGCAGTAAATTATTCCCCCGGTGACGCCCGCAGAGCAGCGTCTGACCACGCAGCAACAGATGCTCCCCAAACCCCAGATAAGCCTGCTGGAGACAGGGAAGCAAGGGGGATGAAGGGGCTGGCCAGATGCTGGGAAATCCAGGAGCCTGGGATGAGAGAGAGAGAAGTGTGGGAGTTCAGCAGGGGGAGAGGGGGACGGAGGGAAAACCGGCTTCCCTGGGGTGCTCACTCTGGGATACGAAACCTTCCCCTTCAAATCAGTTCCAAGCCAAGCCTAAGTGTTCAAAGATCACTTCTTTTAGGTGTCACTGCAACCAATCAGTATTATAAATATGGCTCTACTGTGATGGCTGCGGCCCAAAACACCTGGGCATTAGTGAAAACACCCTCCCATTCCTTACGGGGAAGGCAACGGAGGAGCACAAATCCCTTCCTGCCATCCCTGGCTCCAGCTGACCTCTTCCTGGGGAGAGCTGGAGGAGAAAGGGGCTTGTAAATGCAGACTCATGAATGCCCAGATAAAAATCTATCCCCCTGGTTCCTCCCACATGGTTTAATCACTCTGCACAATGCAACAGCTGGCAGGATAACACACACCAGATGTGCCGGGAATATGAAAGACAGGAGGAAGGGAGTGGTGGAAATTGGGGGGTGGGAGGGGGGAGAGGAGGAGGAATCTGTATTTTCTCATCACAGACTCCTGGATGTAGGAGATTAAACCTCCTTGATTTATGAGCTCAGAGGGAGCATGAAAATCTTTCCGCCTTTCCACATGTGCCTGGGGAAGGGAAAGGGGAGCGGGGTCCGGGGGCTGTGGGAAGGCCTGAGGCTGCTCTTGGAGTCACGGGAATGGGATGGTTCTCCTTCCCAAAATTCGCTGGTTTGGAGCTCAGCACAAGGTGCAGGAGGGGGAAACCACACGAGGAGACTTGTTCCAAATCCGGAGGGTCAGGAGGGGAGCGCAGGGAGGGCAAGGGGGGGATGAATGCAAGGGGGGAAGGGGGAAAGCTGAGCTGGGAAATAAATCTTAATTGCAAAATTAAGGGAAAGAAAAAAGAGGGTAAAGAGGGGCTGAGCTGAAGGTGGGGTGTGGACACACTGACGTGTGGGGCTGACCTGACCCCAAAGACCTCCCTGAGAGATCCCAGACACTTCGGGGCAGGATTTTCCCACCTCCTGCCAAGCTCCAGCCCAGATATTGTTTGCCAAGCAGGTCACAGCAGATGGGTCTGCAGGGTCCTACCACAAACCCTCCTCCCCACAAAGGGCCCTTCCCAGCAGAGCCTGAGTTTGGGGAAGAGCCCAACCACTGCGGGACAAAGTGCAACCACACCAAACCCTTCCCCTCCCTGCGCCTCGAGTGCTGTCCCTGCGAGCTCCCTGGAGCTGCAGAACCTTCCAGAAGACACACGTGGGCTGCCAAGCACAACACAGCCTGGGCTGCAGGGGAGGGGGCTGCTGCCATCACCCCAGTATTAATTACAGTAACGAGGGCTGCAGTCCTGCCCCCTAACGAAGGGGATTCTGCAGCTCAGGGCTGGATCCCTGAGCACAAACAGAGCCTTCAATCCCTGGATCAGCTTTTCTCCAGGGGGTGGGAATCTGTGATCTGTGTGTGTGCAGAACCACCAGCATTCCATGTGCTGCACAGGGGTGTGGGGGCAGCAAAAAATGCAGGGAACCACCAAGGAAGTGAGAGGAGGAGGAGGCAGGAGCCACGTTTAGAAAGGTCTGTTTAAAGCAGCCACGTGAAAAACGTCACCCCAAAAACCTGGTGCTCCGGCTGGGGGGTGAGAGACCGATGGGGAAACTCCTGGCTCTGACTGGGAGAGGTGGGATGGGGGCACCTGGAGGGCTCAGCAGAGGTGGACACACACCTCCTGCCCCATCCCTGCTGTCCCCCAAGGGCTGTCCCCATCCCTGCTGTCCCCCAGGGACTGTCCCCATCCCTGCTGTCCCCCAGGGACTGTCCCCATCCCTGCTGTCCCCCAGGGACTGTCCCCATCCCTGCTGTCCCCCAAGGCCTGCCCCTGCTCCCTCATCATCCCCCCGTGCCACCGAGCAGCTCCCGAGCTCCTCCCTGGGTAATCTATTTAGGGGGAATCAGAGCATCCCTGTGCCTCTGGATTGGCAGGAGGAGCTCCTCGGGGAGGCACTGATGGAACACAGAAGGGCTGGGGGAGGCTGGGGATGTGTGGGAAACACGGAGAGGCTTTGCCCTGGATTAAAGTGCTGGCGAGGGGAAGGAGGGAGGGTGTGGAACTGCAGCAGCCCCTCAGCTGGGAGGATCAGCCTTTCCAGGCTGGATCACAGGGTCAGGGTCAGGAATTCCTGTCCCCACCTGCACCATCTCTGTGTCTGAGCCACTCACAACCTTCTTCCACAACACCACAGAACCGTGGAATGGGTTGGGTTGGAGGGGACATTAAAGCCCATCCAGTTCCACCCCCTGGGCAGGGACACCTTCCACTGGCCCAGGTTGCTCCAAGCCCTGTCCTTGGACACTTCCAGGGCTGGGGCAGCCACAGCTTCTCTGGGCAACCTGTGCCAGGGCCTCCCCACCCTCACAGGCAGGAATTTCTTCCCAATATCCCACCTAACCCTGCTCTCTGTCAGTCTGGACAAGCCACCTTGCTGTGCCTCAAGGTTTCCTATTCTCCTGTGCAACGTTGCACTGGTGGAACAATCCAGAAAGCCTCACACAACCCCCCTCCCCTCCAAGGGGGCTGTTCAGGGTGGTAACAGGCTCTTAAACTTAGGATCAAATTCGATCTGGAGTGAGCACCTTTGGCAACAGAGTCTGAGCAAAAGTTTGGGATCTAGGCACAAAAAAAAAAAATGCACAAAAAAGTAAAATACACTCTCCATTCCGAGGGTTAATAACAAATCCCTGGGGAAACACTAAACCCTTGTCAGCTCCAGCACAGCCACAGCAATCAGGGTCTCCCCAATTTCGGCCTGCAGGGAGTTGAAAGCCGCCTGTAAAACTGAATTACACCCTTCCCTCCGTGTTTATAAAGGGCTGGCAGGACTTTGGAGGAGACAGTGGGTGATTGTCTGACAACTGCTCTCCCTGGCCAAGAGGCAGGTTTTGGGTTTCAGCTCAGCTTGAAAATAATCTTCTCAGGCCATCAGGTCCTGTCAGCTCCGTTAACCGGGTGAATCCGCTGCTCCCAACAGCCAGAGCTGAGCTGCCCTCACACCCCCCCGGGGAAATCAGGGGCTCTTTGGAGCAGGGAAAGCAGGAGCAGAGCTCAGAGGTTGTTCTGCTGGAACTTTCTGCTGCTCTCAGCCTTGCCAGGGCAGCTCTGACCTACACCCCCCCCTTGGCCTCACACAAATCCTCTCCAGTCCTAACCCCAAGCCCCTGTGCTTTCACCTCCCAGCCTGTCCCTGCAGTGCTTCCCACACAGCCAGACACTGCCAGCCTGGGAATTCTCCTTCCCACCAGACACTGCCAGCCTGGGAATTCTCCTTCCCACCAGACACTGCCAGCCTGGGAATTCTCCTTCCCACCAGCCAGTCCTGCCACGGAAAGGACACCCAAGCCTTTCCAAGCAGCATTTCTGTGCACAAAGGGACGTTCCTTTGGGTCCCTTTTCCCAAAAGCACAGGTTTATTTGTTCCAGCAGGAGCCTGGCCCTTGCCCTCCTCATTTACACCAAAGAGCCCTGCTAAGGAGCTGCATTAATTCCCATTCCCGCTCCCGAGTTCAGCTCCAAAGGTCCAAGGACTGGAGTGACCCCACTTGTTCCCTGACCCTGAACAACTGCAGGGCCTTCACCTTGCTGTGTGCAAGCTCAGCTGTGTCTGGGCTGCTCCCCAGGATTTGGGGCTGTCAGGAGTGACAGAAATCCCAGGGCTGTCCCGATTTACAGCCAGGGGTGAGCCCACGTCAGCAGCAGGGAATCCCAGGGATACCCTGACACCCTGACTGTGCCACCCCTGGCCATGGAGAGGACAAACTCACTCAGGTGACACCTTCCCAGCAGGGAACTGGATTTTCTCTACACCTCAGGAGCAGAACAGGCCCCCACACTGTGCCCCTCTGCCTGAGTCTTCCCGAAATGGAGGAGCTAAGAACCCAAGCTCCCACTGCTCCCACGGAAAAGCTGCCTCTTGGAAGCACTTGGAAGAGCTTGTGTGCTCCTGAGGTTGTCTCCTTTTTTCCCTGATAAGGGAAATTAGGGGAATAAACCAGGACAAATATAAAATGTAAGTCTAATAAAGGGTAACACCCCTCCCCAGGCCCTGCCTTGCTGTCCCACGTGAGCAGCAGAAAAGGCCAAACCTTGGGTATTCACCTATTCTGTGAGAGCTTCAGCTCTGCACATCTGCTGCAAACCAGGCTGGCACTTCCAGCCCAATCCCTGGGGGGTTCACTCCGTGATTGTGTCGTCAGTGCTGACAGATACCAGCAGAGCTGGACAGAAACCAGGAGAGCTGCCTGGAAAATTCCCAAGGTGGGCGTCGAGAGCAGGAACGTGACCAGTTGGGAATCAACCCCAACGGACAAAAGCCCTTCCTGAGCTCCCCCTGCCCTGCCCTGCCACTGCCAGGGGGGTTCTCCCCATCCTCCCCCCCCAAACACTCCCGTGCCAGGGGTGCCAGGGGTGGTACCTTGTCGGTGGTGACGGGCACCGGGGCCGGGGGGAGGCTGCTGGGAGGAGACTCCGGCCGCTTTTTGTGCTTCTGTTTAGGTCTCTCTTTGTCCTTCCGACTCTGGAAAAGAAATCAGAGAGCACTGGAAGGGTAACTTTCCCTCTGCTGAGAGTAACAGTTGTAAGGGAAAAGAAAGGAGGGTGTGCAGGGGTGGATTTACAACCATACATTCGTATCCCTCTTTCCTTCTCCACCCATCCACACGAGCCCAGGATCCCTTCCCCCCACGTCCCAGCTTCTGGCTGGAAGCATCCCCAACTATCTCTGCCCCAGCTGCAGCCAACATCTGGAGAGCAGAATACCAACAGAAGCCCCAAATCACTTCATGGTAAGATGATAGGGAAGGACTTAACAAGCTCTGGCTGATTTCTGGAAACCTGAGCTTTGCTCTTGCCATTTCCCCAAAGGGACCCCGTGCCCCTTTGCCCTCCCCTCTCTTGCCTCTTTTCCAGGGTTTCCCAGATCCACCCCGTCCAGAAAAGGGGAGGACCTCGATCCCAGCACGTGCTGCACGTGCACAGGTAGAGAGAGCAGGTGGTGGAGAGCTCAGAGCCCACCCCAGAGACCCCCACACGCCCCCTCCCCTCCCTCCCAGCAGCTGCTCCGGGTCTGGCCCTGCTGACACGACACAGACTGTTGGGTTTGGTTTGTTCATCCTCGTTTTATCCTCTCCCTGAAACGCCAGAAATGTGGGATTCTTCAAACTGCAAACCAGGGAGAAAGCCCTGGCTGGAGAAACAGAGTCCTGCCTGCCCCTGGTTTTGTATCCATCCCCCTGGGGAGTGGTGGAGAAGGGTGGATGGGCAGGACTTGCTCCATCACATATTCCTGCTTCTTCCCTGCCTTCCTCATCTTCACACTCCACACTGAGCTGACACAGGAGCTTTTCCACGCCACAAATACCAGCTAAAAAACGTGACTTCCTTCACTGGAGCTGCAGGAACTCCAGTTCCAAACTTCCCAGTGTGGTCACAGGAGAGCTGCTGTTGGATAAACACCTGCATGAGATGCAGGGCTTGGAAAAATCCATCCTCCCACCTCCCAGACTTTTTCTGGGGGGGGAAAAATGCCTATTTTTGCACACACTACCCTGGCATGGGTGGTTCATCCTAGAGGCTGAAGTGCCCAGCTTGGGTTGAAGGTGTTTTCAGAACAGTCACATCAGAATTCCCTGACTCTCCAGGAAGATTCCTGATTGCTCCCTCATGCAGGAAAAGCCCTGAGGCTGCAGCTGCCAGCACATGCCAAAGTTGGGATGCTGTCAGGGAAAAGAGGCAATTCCAGCAAACATCTGAGCTGCACTGTGTGTTTTGGGGGGAGGAGAGGAGAGAGGGGAATAATTAGCTGAGGAATCGATAGAATAAACTGGGAAAAAAAGGGGGCAGGAGGAGGGACAGGGCAGGAGGAAAATGCTGGAGAAGGCAGGTGTGAAGTGAAGCAAAAGTGCTCCAGAAATCAGCACCTCCCAGGGTGGGTCTGGCTGAATTTCTGAGCAGGAGGGAGGCCCACGATCCTGCCACGATGCCAAGGAAGATTTCACGGGGATGAACTGGTGAAAAAAAGGAGGCAAACCCAGCCTAGAACTTCACAGCACTGCCAATATCCATCATTTTATCACAAAACTCCTGGCATTTGGAATATCTGTTAAAACTTCTGTTCCTAGAGCTACAATATTTCATAAGAATCCCCATTTTCTCCCCCCCCTCCTTTTTTAAATACACATTTCCAGCCTTGGCAGTGAACAAGGAAAGCTTGAAAATGTGATTTCTGCCAACTAAATTTGCTGAAAGACAAATTCAAATTAAATCTTTACTAAAACTCATAACGTTTTAAATACTTGGGGGTTTCTTGTGCTATAAATTCCCAGTCTCCTGGGTTTTCTGGGACAGGGAGATGGGAAAACTGTGGCCCAGCTCATTAAGCAGCTCCTCACAGACCACGTGCACACCAGTGTTCACTGCTCCTGTCGCAGTAATAGGTTTTAATATCTCCATCTCCTTTTACAAATGGGGAAAACAGGGCATGCAGGATGAGAGGATTTCACAGAAAGCCATCCATAAATTCAGAGGGAAAGTCAGGGATCACGTGGACACACATTTTCCACCTTTCACAGGTGCTGCCAGTGCCACTCAGGGAAGCCAGGAATGGAAACCAGGGGCCAGACACCTCATTAAGGCACCTCTTGCCAAGCAACTTGCACAGACCTTAAACTTTCTGAACACCACAGAGCTCATCCTCTCGTTTTCAGCCCCCTGAATCCCAAATGGATTTCCACGAGGAAGCTGCAACAGGAGGGAGCAGGAGGCACTGAGTGATTTAATGCCACATGTCGTGGGCAGGATGAGCCAAGGCAGAGTCAAACCACTCTGGGGGACGACAGTGAACCCACACACGTGTGGGGGAAGGCAGGAATGTCCTGCCTGTCACGACAGTGATGCATAAACCCCTTTTCCCCCCCCCCGATTTCACCACCAAACTCACACCCTCCAGCTTCAAAATCCTGGCCTGGAAAAGCTCCCTTTGCTGCCAGCACAGAGCTGGCTCTATATGGGGGTGGGTACATCTGTCTGTGTCCTGCAGGAACCCTGCCTGCACAACAGGGACCAGATTTCTGGAATGCCTCAGCTCCCAGATTTCTGGGATGCCTCAGCTCCCAGATTTCTGAGACGCCTCAGCTCCCGTTCAGACCCTCCGATAAATGATCAGGTTTTCAGAAAAAAAAAAAAGAAAGAAAGAAAAAAAGATCTAAACGCTGGGGGTTGAGCCCTTTTGAAGCTCTGGCCTCGACTGCACGTGCTGAGCAACTGCACTCAAACTGTTTGGGAAAATCTGTGCCCCAGAGCCCAAGCTCTGCTCTGCTCCAGGGGCTGCTCCGAACCAGAAGCACCACCCACACCTTGCTCCTCCACGGGCTTCCCAAGCACCTCTCCCCTTCCACACCACGTCCTCTCCAGGCTCTCCCTGCCATTTCTGCTCAGAACCCACAGGGCTGGGCACCCAGGAGCTCTCTGGGCTCCAGCTCTGCCCAGCCTGGGTGCCCCCCTGCCTTTGCACGCTCGTGTGTCCCCCCTCCAGTTCATCTCTGACACCTTTGGGTGCTCAAAAGGCAACAGGATCCGGTAAATTCTTCAGTGTTCCTGGAGAAATGCAGTGTCCTGTGTTCAAACAGGCAGGACAGCCAATTCTGTCACCCCGTGGGTGGGGTTGGGCTGCACCCAGACCACGGTGGGAAGGTGACGGTGCCTGCCACGGCCACGGCACTGAGAGCTGAGGCTGCTCATCCCTCCTGGACACCTGACAGACCCTCACCCAGCCCAGGCTCACCCCAGGGGCTTTGAAACCTGTGGGTTCTCCCTCCAGGAACCAGAAAGCTGCAAAAGCTTCCTGCAGGAGCCGCCGAGAGGGGAGGGCAAGGCGAGAGGGGGAACCGGCACTTTGGTCCCCTCCCCACCTTGTCTCCCTGGCACAGAGGTGCCAGGAAACTTCCAGGAAACTTTATGGACAACATAAACCACAGGCAAGAGCCAGGCCTGCCTGAAGGAGGAATCAGGGGAGGAGGAGGAGGAGGAGGAGGAAGGAGAGAAGAGGAAACCTCTCACCACCCCCAGCCCACCTTTGCCAGCCCAGCCCAGCCCTACCTTGCAGCCGCCCGGCGTTCCCCGCGGAAGAGCTGCGGGCTGCAGGGAACGGGAACCTGCCCCCAGCACCAAACCTCATGGAAAACAACCTCTCCCCGTGCAGGATTGAGCAGCTGGGGCTTGGCATGTGGGCACGGAGCGGGGCAGCCCCGCGGCGGGGGGAGCGCGGCCGCATCGGGGGCGTGACGGCGACACAAAACCCCCCTTTGGAGCTCCCCGGAGCAGGAGGAACCAAACGGGAGCTCCCGCTGCCAAAAAGGGGCCGGGAGCAGCTCCTCCACCTCCGGCTCCCCTTCCCAGAGCCCCCTTCTCTTCTCATCTGCTGGACACCAGCAATTGGATCGTTAAAAGGAGATTGGGCAGAGGGAAGGAGAGAGGGAAGAGCCGGGAGCTGGGAAGAGCCAAGTGGGCTCTGCTCCCTCCCTCCCTCTTTCCCAGGCTCTCTGAACTCCCGCACCCGGAGGAGGAGGAGGAGGAGGAGGAGGAGGAGGAGGAAGCCTGGCTCCCGGCTGCAGCCACGGCAACAGCAGTGAGGAGGAAGGAAGGCAGCACAGGACGGGAGGGACACGAGGGATGTCCCTGCGACCTCACTGTACCCGGGGCCGTGCCAAGGGCTTTGTGGCTTTGCCTTAAAACACCCTCCAAGTGTGTGAGAGTTTTCCAGCAGGACACACAGCCAGCCCTCTCCAGGCTCTGTGTGCTCCCAACAAACCCATGCAAGCAGCCACTGGAAAAAAAACATCCCTTTGCCCTCTGTGCCTGTGTGGACGCAGAATTCCAGGGCAGACCTCTGTCACCAGCCCCTCGGAGACCCACTGGGATTAGATTTCAGCACAGGTTGCCCAGAGAAGCTGTGGTTGCCCCTGGATCCCTGGAAGTGTCCAAGGACACGTTGGACAGGGCTTGGAGCAACCTGGGCTAGTGGAAGGTGGCAGGGGGTGGCACTGGGTGGCCTTTAAGGTCCTTTCCAACCCAAACCATTCCATGATTCCATGATTCTATAAGCACCTCCCTCTTTCCTGTGTTCCTGGACAGAGACTTTTCATCTCCCTGCAACATTCCATTATCCCAATTACAAGCTGATTGATTTTACTTACGGATTCCAGGTGTTCCCTAAGAACAACACCGGACGAGGGTCTCCCTCCAAAAACACACTGGGATTGGGACATGCCAAAAAACACAGCAGTGCCTGTGCTCCTGCCTGCTCCTGGAGGGACAAATTTCGTTTCCAAGGCCTGTGGCAACTTTTTCGAGCAGACAAAATAGGTGACAGAACATCTGTGCTCCATTCGTGCCCCGTGTGCGTCATCCCTGGTATTTAGCTATTGTTTCTCTTCTTTTTTTAAGTCTTTCTTTTTTTAAAACAAACCAACCCTGCAAAGGCTCCCACAGAGCACACACGCACACTGCAACACCAGCCCCAAAGAAATAAAGAAAATAAGGCCTGAGGAAAACCCAAAGGCTGCAGCTTTCCCATTTTTAAGGCCGGCACAGAAGGAAACGCTTGGGAAATGCTGCGAGAGGCGGGGGATGTGAGGCTGACGTGCAGTCCCATGTCACAATTGTCCCTTGTTCTGCTGAGAACAAGACTCTTCACAAACCCTGGAATTACAGCAGGGCTTAGGAGCCCAAATCCCAACTGCTGAGCCCCTCCTCAGTCATTAACTCCGAGTTTTCCTCGGTAAAGTCTGAGCAAACGGAGCACCTGCAGCCCAGGTGAGTCTGCACCCACCGTGCTCTGCTCACCGAGCAGTGACCGGCTCCTGGCATCGCCTCCAGCTCCAGCAGGACGTGCCCAGGCAGCTGCACAGCTGGACAGGCTCAAGGAAAAGCTGCTGTGCTCCAGGAGCACTCCCAGTTCCAGGGGAACACGTGCAATTAGATCATGCACGGCTGGTCACGTACTCCCAGCCCCGCTGGGAAGGGCTGGCTCTACTCTGGGTACCCTCCCAAAGGTCTGTCCCCACACTGCCACACTCCCAGACCTTCCTCCTGAACACTCCCAGACCTTCCTCCTGCTCCCAGACCTTCCTCCTGCACCCCAAAAAACTGCTCCCAGACCTGTAAAACCCCCCGGACACCCCTGGGAGCTGAGAGCGCCTTCCTCACCCTGCCCACCCCCTCGGCCCCTTCCCATGCCCACTCCCCCTCCCCGGGTGGAAGGAGCTGATTTTGCACTCGTGCCAAGCAATCCCAGCCCTGGAAGGGGCCTCCACGGGATCTGCTGCCTCCAAAGCCTCGGGAGGGGGAGCGGGGAGGCAGCAGCGAGACCAGACGGAGTCCCCGCACGTTTTGGGAGGAACCCAGAGCTAACAATAGTGGCAGGAGCCTCTGGGAGCCTATAAATAACCCCATATTCCTCCTGTTTTCGCTCTCCCCCTGGCGCTGACCTGCTTTCCCAAGCAAATCTGGGAGCAGCCCCCGCTCTACCTGCCAGGCACGTGACTGTGCAAACACAGCAACCCCGGAGCAGCCCCAGCCCTGGCTCTGTCAGTGATAATTCCAGCTGAGCCTTCCAAGCCCCCATCAATCACCCTGATCCTGCCCTTTCCCCCCTCCCTCCTCCCTCGGCTTGCTGGATAAAAATAGCACGTTCCAGTACAGCCCAGCACCTTGTGCCAAGCGTTCCCTGACCCTGGCACAGATGCTCTTCCTCCCTCCCTCCCTCCCTCCCTCCTCCTCCTCCTCTGCCAGCAGCTGAACACACAAGAGGAGCAAACACTCCCCGTGCCCTCGTGGGCAGGATATTTCCTGACTCTTTGGGATTGAGGTTTCCTTGTTTGCCCAAGCATCAGGTAGGGCTTGGGCAGCTCTCCCAGCTCCTCCTGGACGGGGGTGGGCAGCGTTTCAAGCTGGATGTTGTGGGATAACCTCTGTAAATAAAAGGCAGAGCTGTCTTTCCTGCCCACAGGATTGATGGGCTCTCAGCTGGGCACGCCAGGCCGGTGTCAGTCACATTAAGTGATGGCCACACTGCCTTTGGAAAGCCTGGATGCCCTCGGCCTCTGGAGACTGGGCTGAGATCCATCAGGCCTAGACCACATAACCCACCAGAGAGCTGGGGAGCTGCTCTGGGATGTGGGTCACTGTCACTCCCACTCCAGATGATTTACATGCTGTGGATGCCCAGTGCAACAGGACAAAAACAAACCAAAGGGAGCAAACGGGCAGAATGAAAAGATTCCTGCTGGGACCTGCAGGGACGTCACCAGCTGTGTTTGTGCAAGGGAAATGTGGCTTTTGACTGGAGTAGAACATAACCAGAGGTTGTCTGGTAAAAGAGAAAGCTCTGGGGAGAGCTTATAGCACCTTCCAGCAGCTAAAGGAACTCTGGACAACAGCACGGAGTGACAGGACAAGAGGGAATGGCCTCGAGCTGAAGGAAGGGAGGGTTAGATCCACGGTGTGGTGGATTCTTCACATTGCAAAATTCGTGCCCATCAAGGGGCAGGAAAGATTCTTTATTCTGCTGCCACCAGCCTTAGAACCTGAATCCTCAAAAAAAACCCCACATGTCCTGGCCTTTTGGGGCTATTTGTTGTCATAAATAACAACCACACAGGAGCCTCTGGCCTCCTCATCTCTTCTGGCACAGCCCCTTGTCAGAACCTGCCGGGGCTCTGCCTTACACACTCCCTGCTGCTTTTCCTTGAAATATGAGTGTTTGTCACGTGAGCCAGTTGGTTAATTATGAACCTTGGTGTGCTGTTAACGTGCCCTGTAACCCTGCAGCAGCTTTGAGGAGCACACCTTAACCAGCAGAGTCAAACAGCTCTCGCCCCAGTCAGACCTGGCACGCGGTGTTCCTCCAAATAATTGTTTAATGGAGATAAACTTAATTTTCACAGGTAGACCAGAACCCTGTGGCTGGTTAATCTGACTAACAAAACACTCCCTAGTTTACCCTAATTATTGTTCTTGCCTGCACTTAACCTGCTGGGCACTAATCAGCATTTTTTTGTCCTTTAAAACTTAAGACTGGGGGATCTGAGGACAACGACCTCCGGTTCTCGAGCTGCTGTGTTTCAAACCACTCTTCCCCTTGTTCCCCTCGTGGCTGTGGCTCCCTGGACCAGCAGATCCCACGTGGATCTTACCTTCTTTGGCCTGTCGTGGTGGGACACGTGTTTCTCCTGGGCAGGGGATGTGGAGCGACTCCTCCTCCCAGCGATGAAGGAGCTGCTCCCAGAGTGCCGTGAGGTCTTCTGAGGGAAGTGGGCGAGGACAGCAGGTGGAGGGAGGAAAAAAAGAGAGGAAACAGTGTTATCCAGCCCAGGTTTCACTGTTTCAATCAGCAAAGTCACAGTAAATGGTCTGTCTCCCACATGCCGGGGCAAACCCAGCCGGGTTCCTGACTCAGGGGTTCCACGGATACAAACAGCACAGAGATCCAACTCTCCCAATCCTCCCTTCCTGGTGGCCCAAGGACACTTGTCCAAGGAAGGCCCAGCTTCCAAGAACCCACCCTGTTATCCAGGGAAGTGGTAGCAGCAGTGTTGTTATTCCTGAACTCTCAGTCCTGAGCTGGAATCCCCGGGGAAGGAAGGACTCACTCCCTGTTTGCCAACCCCAGGAATCCCCGGGGAAGGAAGGACTCACTCCCTGTTTGCCAACCCCAGGAATCCCCGGGGAAGGAAGGA